CTCTGATGCTTATGCCGTTCGATTTCCTCTCTCTCTCCCTCTGCTTTCTTCATCACTTCCTCGCAAATTGTACCCAACAGCTGTTCTATACAATGTCAGCCATTTGCTGCTGCCCGTGCCATCCCAAGCATCATGTGGCTGCCATCAGCTCCTCCGCCCCCCTCTCCGCCTCCTCCTCCCCCCTCTCCGCCCTCTGCTCCTCCTCGAGATCGGCGCTTTGGCCTCGGATGCTTTGGCTTGAGCCTCGTCCTCGGCCTCGGCTTTGTCTTGATGATCCCGTGCGTAGGAACCCAGCTGTTTTGGGATTTATTTTTTTGATGTTTTTTGTAGATAACGCCGTCTTGGGATGTGTGCTCCGCCCGAATCCATTCCTCGTCCCGTTCTCAGCTTTGCCATCGCCCGTTGCTGGTAGAAATGGAATCGAGGCAGCGTCGACAGGTGCACCTCTCACAAGTGCACCACCCACCATTCCTCCAGACTCCCTCTCGTCCCCGTTTGATCTTTGTTACAACCTGTCCTGGTCCGTCGGTCGCAAAAGCGTCTTGATCCGCCCCGTCACCCAGTTTCCCAACGGTCATGTTCTTGTCGACAGAGCCGTCTGCGGCAACTCCTTTCAACCCGGTCCGGCAGCCTTTGCGTGTACCCTATGCCTCGCGGACTTCTTCTCTGACCAACCGCCATGAGTGATGCCCCTGACGTGGCTGCTGCCCCTGCTTGACCCTCACGCCTCCTCGGGCCCCGTTGGCAGGTGATGTCATCCCCGACACGGGTGAGTTTTACCTGGGCAACTCCAGGACCTGCGGCCAAGTGAGCGGTGCCGAGCTCTTTTATGCGTACGCCCTCTCCCCCTTTTTTCTTTTGATCGCCCACCTTGGCTTTCACCTGGAACCAATATGCCTTGCTTTGGCCGTCATCCCCTCCCGCATCGGGCTTGACCCACTCATCCAAACTCTTACCTCTTTGGTCCAGCTACAACACGCCAAATTCCGCCTCCTCCAATACGGGTCTCGAAGAGCAAGAAGCCGTTCTCCTGTATTTTGTCGTCTCCAACGGCTCGCGGCTTGACCTCGTCTACATTAACGACAAGCCCAGTTGGTGTCATAAACCCACCCTTCATCTCCCATCTCGTCGAGCCCATCCACCGCTCGCCTCGTCGCACTCTCACGTTGGGACATGCCTTGCTAGGCAATGTGGGTGGTGGCCGGGCGCAGGTTGAACTCCTCGCCCCCGAACTCAAGGGACGTCCCGCAAACGTCGTGCGCTACGACGATCCCCTCACCGCCGCTGCCCTTGCTACCTGCGAAATGGGCGAAGATTGCTATCGCTACAATCAATCCACCGGCTTTGGCACCTTTTCCTGGCACTGGGATGTTTGCTGCACTGATGGCATGGTCTTTGGGCCCATGCCCACTGAAGATGTCAAGTGAGAACACACCCAACCCTCAACCCGCTTGCCTCCTCACACGAGCTGCTCATCATTGCATGCTGCATCTTTGAACGTTCGTTTCTCGCTGTAGATTTACCCTCAAATGGACCAATATCCAGGGGTTGAATAGCGTGGTCGTGGGCAGCTTTGACCCGACCAACCACACGCTGCAGCGCTTCACCGATCTCACCCTCGTATGTCATGCCAAGCCCCCCGTTGGCATGGTCCTCGAGGCGGGATCATTACACTGACATTTACTGCCCCAACGTTCCAGGACGATCTCAAAGCCGGCATCACGGTCAAGCTCGAAAATTGTGCCTCGCGCTGCGCTGCCTTTGTACGTAGTATCGCCAAGCCCAAAGCCCAAATGCTTCCCTAGCCTCGGTCGTGCTTCTCTTCTCGTATGTGTGCCTCACATACCATCCTTGACATTTATCTTGGCCGGCGTTGCCGCCAGACCTCTTGTGGCACTTGCTCGCGTGACCCGGGCTGCGGGTGGTGTGACAACGCCTGCGTCCCCTCAGCCAGCAAGGTATCAACTCGCTTGCACCCTCGGCTGGCAGCTGCGCCTGCCACTCTCAATATGGCTGGACGGGGTTCACCATCGGGGCGCAAATGCGTGTCGTGTTGAATAGAGCGAGTGCCCGGGCTCATGGGCCGATCGCGACTCCTGCTGCACCAGTTGTGGAGCACAAACAAACTGCGACAGTTGCACGGCCCTGGAGGGTTGTGCCTGGTCCATCGATCACCACACCTGCTACTCTGGTACACCGCGCCATACAAGGCTATTCGCCCAACCCCGCTGGCATGACAGCGTGTGCTCACGAGATTTGGGAGATAGGCGTGGCCAACGATCTCTGTCATGCGTCAAAGTACACACTTTTTGAAACTTGCAACGTTTCAGTACCCCCCTTCACGGGTAACACGACTGACCCCATCAACGAGTTAGTGACAAACGCAACCCCAAGCTCCGCGACCTTGACTCCTTCTGCTGCAACCTTCTCTTGGTGGTGGCCACCCTCATTGACACGTGCCGTGCTTGGCTTGGCAGTGGAGTCGAGACATTTTGCAACGATCACGGGCAGCCAGACTTTACGACCGGGACGTGTGCCTGTGAAACCGGCTTTGTGCAACCCGAATGTAATCCGGTTTGTCTTGCCCAGTTCCCATCCTGTTCAACCCGAGCTGCCACGGTTGGCCTTTCTGCTCTCATTCCCGGGACATGTTGCCTGTGCTGGCCTCCTTCACCCACCATGTTTAGTGCCCTGATTGCAACAATCGGGGCACTTGCGATGAAACCACGGGCCAATGCTTTTGCGCTTGCGGGTATAGCGGCGAGTTTTGCGAGCTGGTGTTGGACTCGTGCACCGAGAACGGTCGATGCTACCAGGGACCGGAAAACGACATTTTTTGCGGCGTGGTTGGAAACGGAGCCATCTGCACCGGACTCTTGCTGGTGGGTCGCAGGCACGCACGCACGCACGCACGCACGTACGCACGCACGCGCTGGCAGGCAAGCTCAAGACTAAACCGTGCGACTTGGGTGGTGTGTAGAACGAAAGTGCGCAAGCTCAAGGCGGGCGTACGGCTGCTGGATCTCTGTGTAGCTGCACACCCGATACCTGGGGGATGGCTTGTAATCTGACCTGCCCCGCCGCAAGTAACACCGTGTGTGGCTTTGCGGGAAGCTGCGACGTTGACACGGGCCTTTGTTCCTGCGATCAGTCTAAATGCAGCGTGTTGGACGAGGGCCTTGGCGTGTGCCGTGAGAGTCAGCTGGCGGGCAACTGCCTGGTCGGCAGTGAAATGTGTGACTTGACAACTGGTCTGAAGCGTTGCGATTGCGGTAACGCCCCGTTTGCCGGCACCCTCTGTGACCAATGCACCTGCCAGGTAGTACACTGTCACGCCTGCCCGCGTCGTACTTTGTTTCGCGCCCGTCATTTCACTTTTGCCGTCACCGACTGTTTGAATTTGCCCCCTTGCAGAATGGGGGCCAATGCCTTTTGGGTGCCGAAGTATGTGATTGCAAGGCTGGCTTTCGTGGTAGTCGCTGTGAAACGGTACGTTCACATCCTGTTCTGGCGGTGGAAGGAAGCCTTGACTTGTAGTTTTTCTCAAACCAAACACGCCATGGGTGGTCTGTCTCCAGGCATGTGACAATGACGCCCTTTGCTCTGGGCACGGGCTCTGTTTGCAAGGTGGCGGCTGTCAGTGTGACTCCGGGTATGAAGGCGACGACTGCTCGCGTCGTCTCACGACCACCACTACCACAACAACAACAACAACAACAACAACAATGGCATCTACAACGGTCTCGCCACAGCTTGAAAGCACGACCGCAGCCATCACGACAACGACCACAACAACGACCACGACCACAACAACGACCACGACCACGACCACGACCACGACCACAGGCGTCGCCACCACAACGCAGTCTGCCCTGACCCCGCAGAGTAACCTAGAGAGCATTTATGCCATGCACATTGGCAACGTCAACTTGAACGACTTTACAGACGCGAGTGCTGCCCTCAGCACGGCCCTGGCCACCGCCATCAACAGCTTTCTCAAAAGCGAAGGCCTCTTGGTGGCCACCAACATTCGCATCATCTCACTTCGTGCGGGCTCCATCGTGGCCGACTTTGGGCTCACTGCACCTACCATCGCACATTTGGCAGCCATCAATTGCGCGGTTCAAGACAAGGGCCAGTTTCCCAGCGTGCTCTCGACCGTGCTGGAAGTTCCCATTACACTTCAAGTAGCCTTGCTGACGAGGTGCACCTTGTGCGACCCGGACATCCAGTGTGGTAGTTCGAGTGGAGCCACAAACAGCACACCGCCCTCCAACACGAGCTCAGGTGGTGGTGGTGGTGTTGCTCCCGATGCGTCAACGCCAGTGCCGGGTGAAGGTCAGAATCCAGCTCCAAGCCGCACAGGTAGCCAAGGGAACAAGGATGGCCCCGTGATTGCAGCTGTGATTGTGGTCGTCCTCGTGTTGCTGGTTGGACTCTGGTGGCTATGGCCTTGCATTTGGACGGCGCTGGGCCGGAGCTGGACGCCGAGGCAGACCAACATGGATGCACCTGGGGTGGTTCGGGCATTCCAGTTTATCTCCAGCAAGCGGCCCGTGGTGCAGCGTTTTGACCGAATGAAGGATCGCGCACCCGATGACACCTTTGTCAATCCCGTCTATGCTGGAACCACGGGCAATGTAGGTTTTCGGTCCTTTTGCTTGGAGAAGTCGGTCGTTTTCTGACATGCTCTTTCCTTCTCTTGCTTTGCTTTGGCCTTTTGAGTGCTCTCGTTCGCCTTTGCTTGCTGCTTTGACGGTTTACTCACGCCCTGAGTGATCGTGCTGATTGGGCATGCTCTGTAGCCGACGCTGGACCCCCAGGCTTTGTATCGAGACCCATATGAGGAGGAGGAGGAGGGCGTGGAAGCCTACATGGAGCCCGAAGCTACAGGTGCCTCAACCTACATGGACCTCCGCTCAGCGCCGAGTGACCTCAGCGATGACCACGAGGGCTACATGCTCACTGAGGCGGCCTCTGAAGCCCCATCAGAAGAATCAGAGGAGGAGCCTGAACTGGACACTCGCCTTCCTGAGCCCACCGTCCCCATTGCGAGCAAGGCTGTCCCATCTGCAGGCGAATCCGAAGCCTAAAGAGGCTTTGAGTAAAGTCTCATCTTCATTACGTTTTCCTTACCAAACCGTCCCCCCAACTTGCCCGTTGACATTTGTGCAGGATCGCGAGTCGACAAACCCAGCACGCTGGCCGTGCTGGGGCGGGTGGGGGTGACCTCTGCTCTTCCCATAAGAGCACGACACTCCAATTGATAATCAGATGCTTCTCTCTCAAACTCTCGCTCTCAAACTCTCAAACTCTCTCTCTCTCTCTCTCTCTCTCTCTCTCTCTCTCTCTCTCTCTCTCTCTCTCTCTCTCTCTCTCTCTCTCTCTCTCTCTCTCTCTCTCTCTCTCTCTCTCTCTCTCTCTCTCTCTCTCTCTCTCTCTCTCTCTCTCTCTCACTCTCTCAAACTCTCTCACACAAACTCACAAACTCTCTCCTCTCTCTCTCTCCAGCTCTCTCTTCGTCGCTCTGTGAAAACCAAGAAACCACAGAAGATGTGAAGCACAAAGCGTGTGACCACTCCCATGTCAATAACACAATGTCAGACGTTTACTTCAAAGCAACGTGTGACGAAGTTTTCGCTTTGTTGTCAATAAACGAAAAAATCAACTTTGAACAAGAATTGATGCGCATCATCGCACGTGAGAAGT